TTGTTGTTTCCTTACTTCATCCACCTTGTGTTTCTTTGTGGACAATACTTCCTAATGTGTCATTCTTGATGACAAATCTAGCATGCTCTCTTTTCTTTCCTTCCTTGCACACTCAACACTTCTCCAGTCATCTTACCATTCGATTTCAGGTCCAATTCCTTTGAGTAGACTGCCGCAGCAACTTCCTTTAAGGTCAAGGACTCCTTGCTATACTTGATGGTGTCTCTTAGATGATCAAACAGTGTCGAAGTACATCCTGTAATAGAATCAACTCCCAATGCTTTCATAAAAGGCACTGGCTAATCTCAACACCTTCAAAAATACTAAAAGCACGTGTAACCGAATTAGCATCCACCTACCTATCTCCAATGGGTCTATCACTAGCAGTTGCATACGATAGAACCACAGGTATTGGCGACAAAGCGAAATTAGCCATATCTTTCAAACTCTACTGAATAGTATTCTTCAATATGGACCTCAAACCAAATTTCAAAGGTACAGTGCCAAAATGAATCTTCACTACGATATTAAATATATACCGACTTTTCTTCACAAATTCGGCCCGACCTTGCAAGATGTATAACTAGGACCTCATTCACCCTCTAACACAACACGAACACCCTTTCGAACCCTCAAGACTCCACCTCCTCCAGAGAATGTATACCTTTTTGAATCAGGAGTACTCAACAAAATGAAATCATTCTTCAAGTTTGGTATATGCCAAATATGATTAAGTATTCTACATGTTCCATCCACTAGCTTCAATCTGACTCTACCAACACCAACTACCCGATAAGGTTCGTTGTTATCCATGACAACGATACCTTACATCACTGTTTCATATGTTTCAAACAAATCCCGATTGTGATACATATGGAACACACAAACTGTATCCAAAATTCACTCCTCATCGATTTGGATTTCATGTCAGAAATCGTCAAAATATCTCCATCACTCAAATAGTTTTCGACTATATTGGTCTCGTCTGAAGTATTTAATTGATTCTCATGATTTTTGTAGTCAAATTACCTTTATTCTGCAATTATCACAATCACTCTAAATGTGTCCTTTTTTCTTACAATAATAGCAAACCTGATTATTGAAATTTGAGCTCAACTTATCCGTTTATTCGATCACCACGAACAACAAAGCATTTTCCATCTATGACCTCAGATCCAACTAGATGCTTCATCTTCTCTTTTGAAAATAAAGTATCATACGTATCTTCATTGATGAGAACATCACGACTATACAAGATCGTGTCTCTAAACGAAGCAAGCAGCAAGCACAAAAGGATTAAGGCTAAATCTTCTTCATCATACTTTACCTCTAAATCTCCAAATCAACGACAATCTCCTTGAACATGGCTAGATGATCTACCAAAGATTCTCATTCTGCATGCGATGAGAATACAACCTCTACTTCATATACAATTTGCTTGTCAGACTTTTGATAATGCACAATTGCTTCAACTTCAACCACAACACATCTGTCGTTTTCTCCTTCAAAACGTTCTGAAGAATATTGTAGAGATGAAGATAGATATGTGAAAGTGTCTTTTGATCCTTCCGTTGTTTCTCATCCGTCGTCCAAGTTGTGGGCATTTTGTCATATCCCGACAATGCATTATCCAAGTCCATTTGCGCAAGTACTGTAGACCTATGGTTGATCATGATCTTAATGTTTTGATTATAACAAACAAGTCCATCTTGTTTACTAACAAATTGAATTGAGTGTTTAACTCTTCAAAGTTATAAAGATAATTATTCACACTCAAATGAAGTACAAGTGAAGTTTAAACGATCATTCAAGACAAATCACTCGAGACAATAGTGATTTGCAATAGCAAGGACTTCAACCTCTTCACAATCTTCAAACGCATTTGCACAATCTCCATCTTGTTTGTTGTTTCTTTACTTCATCCACCTTTTGTTTCTTTGTGTACAATACTTCCTAATGTGTCATTCTTGATGACAAATCCAGCATGCTCTCTTTTCTTTCCTTCCTTGCACACTCAACACTTCTCCAGTCATCTTACCATTCGATTTCAGGTCCAATTCCTTTGAGTAGGCTGCCGCAGCAACTTCCTTTAGGGTCAAGGACTCCTTGCTATACTTGATGGTGTCTCTTAGATGATCAAACAGTGTTGAAACACATCCTGTAATAGAATCAACTCCCAATGCTTTCATAAAAGGCATTGGCTAATCTCAACACCTTCAAAAATACTAAAAGCACGTGTAACCGAATCAGCATCCACCTACCTATCTCCAATGGGTCTATCACTAGCAGTTGCATACGATAGAACCACAGGTATTAGTGACAAAGCGAAATTACCCATATCTTTCAAACTCTATTGAATAGTATTCTTCAATATGGATCTTAAACCAAATTTCAAAGATACAGTGCCAAAATGAATCTTCACCATGATATTAAATATATGCCGACTTTTCTTCACAAATTCGGCCCGACCTTGCAAGATGTATAACTAGGACCTCCTTCACCCTCTAACACTACACGAACACCCTTTCGAACCCTCAAGACTCCACCTCCTCCAGAAAATGTATACCTTTTTGAATCAGGAGTACTCAACAAAATGAAATCATTCTCCAAGTTTGGTATATGCCAAATGTGATTAAGTATTCTACATGTTACATCCACTAGCTTCAATCTGAGTCTACCAATACTAGCTACCCGATAAGGTTCGTTGTTATCCATGACAACGACACCTTGCGTCACTGTTTCATATGTTTCAAATAAATCCCGATTATGATACAGATGGAACACACAAATTGTATCCAAAATCCACTCCTCATCGATTTGGATTTCATGTCAGAAATCGTCAAAACATCTCCATCACTCAAATAGTTTTCGATATATTGGTCTCGTCTGAAGTATTTAATTGATTCTCATGATTTGTAGTCAAATTACGTTTATTCTGCAATTATCACAATCACTCTAAATGTGTCCTTTTTTTTTTTTCAATAATAGCAAACCTGATTATTGAAATTTGAGTTCAACTTATCCGTTTATTCGATCACCACGAACAACAAAGCATTTTCCATCTATGACCTCAGATCCAACTAGATGCTTCATCTTCTCTTTTGAAAATAAAGCATCATACGTATCTTCATTGATGAGAACATCACGACTATACAAGATCGTGTCTCTAAACGAAGCAAGCAGCAAGCACAAAAGGATTAAAGCTAAATCTTCTTCATCATACTTTACATCTAAATCTCCAAATCAACGACAATCTCCTTGAACATGGCTAGATGATCTACCAAAGATTCTCATTCTGTCATGCAATGAGAATACAACCTCTACTTCATATACAATTTGCTTGTCAGACTTTTGATAATACACAATTGCTTCAACTTCAACCACAACACATCTGTCGTTTTCTCCTTCAAAACGTTTTGAAGAATATTATAGAGATGAAGATAGATATGTGAAAGTGTCTTTTGATCCTTCCGTTGTTTCTCATCCGTCGTCCAAGTTGTGGGCATTTTGTCATATCCCAACAATGCATTATCCAAGTCCATTTGCGCAAGTACAACCCTCATCTTTACTTGACACAACGAGAATTTCGTATTGCGATCCAAAAGTGAAATTTCATACTTCATGTCTGCCATCAACAACAAAAAACTTGAACAGATCACAACCAATAGTTCTGATACCACTTGTTGATGAGTAATTAACGAAAAAGTTTCAACAACCAATTCACCCCCCTCTTGGTTAGTTATTCTTGGGCTAACAAGTACAACCCTCATCTTTACTTGACACAACGAGAATTTCGTATTGCGATCCAAAAGTGAAATTTCATACTTCATGTCTGCCATCAATAACAAAAAACTTGAACAGATCACAACCAATAGTTCTGATACCACTTGTTGGGAAATAAAACCGATCGATGTAATATATATGACATGATATAAAGTATATGATTCTATATTTCAATAATACAAAACTTTTGAAAAGAGTTTAGTACTTATAGGAGTGCATGCCAAACCCTAGAAATACCATAAAGATGGAAACCAGAACAAAAAAATCATGTGGAATAAAAGGAAAAAATATTTTTCCAATAACAACAAGTGAAAAAAAGAAAAAAATATATTCTCAAAAATCCAACCTAATTTAGGTAAAAAAAAAAAAAACTCAACAAATGTATACAGCTTGATCAACTGAACTTGAAAACAGAAACAGAAAGAATATGTTGCATATCCAATGTCTTGTCACCAATTGAAACTCAATAAATATTATTGCACGAGTTTCATGCTCCAAGAATATGAGACAGAAGGGGACAACCATCTAATAATTTGTTATTAACACACATAATACTAGCGTTTAAAGCCGAAAAATTGGATCATGCAGATCTTGGTGACATGGTGGATTACTTTTCTTGAAGCAATTGGGATTTGCTGTGTGTACCCGGTGTAGAAACCCCTCTCAATAAGGGGGTCCAAGATTTTTTTTATTGGTCATAGGACCCCTTCTATTATGAAAGGGTGTGTACAAATAGTAAAACCCTGATTTTATAATATTATCCATTCAACTCGTGAAGAACAAACAAAATCGTGACAACTAGGCACTATCATATTATTGCACCTGGCTATTGCATTACCTATTGTCGCCACTGATTGAACACACTTATTGTTCTTCATTATGTTCACATAGTAACATTTTCCATTTCACAATTCTAGCTAGTCATCCACATGATAAAGTTACTTTTAATTGCTTGTTGTGCTTAGAGATGGATTCGATCCAAAATAAAACTGTTGCATAGAATATGGTTTGCTTGGTTGATAGAAAAGGTGAAAGTTCATTCCATAAAAGTAAATTACTAAATTATGGTTTGCTTGGTTGAGATAAGATCTTGAAAGTAACAGATCGATAAATAATGAGACAGAGAGATATACAAACAAATATAAGTTTGAAAGTGTTGATTGTATTATATCTATCTTGAAAATGATTCACAAAACTATGAGCGTGGTCATAGAAGACTAATGATTGAGGACATTAAGAAGAGAAACTCTAGTTTTAACTAGACTCCTAAAGAAGGCTTCCAAGTTCTCTTCAAGTTCCTGAAAGATCATTTCTGATTCTTTTAACTGCATCATGACACTTTGCGCAGATAATGTGTCCATGTCTTTTCTCAACTTGTTGATGTTCAAGGCATACAATCCTTCTTCTGTATGTAAATGTACACGGCTTGATCGACTAAACATGGAAACCAGTGACCAAGCCTTTTGCTTTGATGCAAAAATTGTCAATGTTGACTTGAGGACAGAGAAGCCAATGGCCAATGCTTCTTTTAGCATGCTTGCAAGATTGTTGTCTTTGTTTAAGAAAGTTGTAGAACATTGGTCGAAAGTCTTCAGATTTTTTATGCACTTTTTAACCATTTTCTCGATTTTTTTCCTTGAATTCACATATGTATCAATGCCTCTATTTCTTCTCAAAGATGATTCGAGTTCTTCAATAGATTCCTTCATCAATAATATAACATCTCGAGCAATTCCACATATGTCAACAAGCTCAAGAGATCCATCAATCAACTCATTGGCCTGATCCATGAAGGTTTGTTGGACAGATGGAGGCTGAATCAAATTATTAATAACTTCATGTACATCTCTGAGGCTGGCCATTTGTGTGCATATGGAAGAAGCTGAAAAGGATGCTTCTTCTGAGGACCTTAGCCTGCAGATATGGTCTTCAACATTGGCTATTTCTGGATGAGATTTAGATGGAAAACTGTTTGATCTAACATGGAAAGACATCTTTCTTTAATGAAATGAATGGTTTTTAAGACTTTTCAAAATTGTGTTTTGAGGAAAGATGTTTGAGACCTGCCTTTAGCACCAAGTACATATAGAGAGCTGAATGGTAGTAAACAGAAAGAATATGTTGCATATCCCATGTCTTATCACCACTGGAAACTGAAATAAATATTATTGCACACGAGTTTCATGCTCCAAGAATCTGAGATAGAAACGGGACAAGCTTTGCATATTTTGTTGTTAACACATAATGCAAGCATTTGAAGCAGAAAAATTGGATCTCAGTGACGTGATACACTACTTTTCTTGAAGCATAAGGAATCTTGACAGAAATGAAGTTGATTTAATATTATTTGAATGCACGAAAACACGTATTAATTACAACAAACAGGATCACTTTGTTAAACAATCCAGAGAGAAAGAGAAAAGCAGGCTAGGGTTTTATTGATTCTGTATAATATAATTGAATGATGAAAACCTAGATATAAAGAGACTATATATAGTCTAAAATAAAGACAACTTAAAAGACTATTCTACCCTTAATAAATAATAAAAACAAAATAATCATATATTTCTTAACAAAGAGATGCAAACAAGGTAGTCATACTTAACAATGATTAACAGAGGGAAAAAATCTAAACAGAAATGCTGTATCAATTTCATGGCTAATGGAAAAAGGATGGCGTTATTTTCTTACCTAACTTGATATTTTTCTTGGTCAAGAAGTATAAGGATGCTCCAAAACTAGTGGCTAAAATCAGCCCCGAGACACCAGCCCCAGCATACGGGGCCACTGAAATGCTGAAGCTCCATTAAAATATTTTAAGACCATTAAAGCTCCGTAGACCCCAACTTGAACACCTATCTCGCTGGTAGATGGTGCTTCAACTGCAGCAGGTGAGTTTCTGGCAGTAGTTTGGAGCCACTTGGGCATTGACCTCATCTTTGAAGTATTT